TGCCTGAGTTAGTTTAGCCCAAGTATGAGCAGACAAGCTGAAGACCCGTATCCAAGTTACTATGCCTTCACTGGTGCCAGGCTCACCCTGTGCATTGCTAAGACTTCTGGGAACATATCCCATAGTTGACTGTGCCTACAGATTACAGTATCAGATAAGTCAAGCAGCCTTAGGCATCATTAAATTCAAGTGACATTTTTGTGTGGGGGATTTAGAGGCAGCATCCAAGAGCCCAAGTTAACTCTACAATTAAGATGTACATTCTTATGTGGATAATTTGAGTGTGATTTGGCAGTGTGGTTGTTCCAAAGTAGGTTATTCTTGGGCTCAGTTTGTGGTGCTGATCACCACATACTACAGTATGCACGTATCTTGAGGTCAAAAGGATTATGAATAGGCATACAGGTTTGCCTTTAGCACCAGACCCTTAGCACAGGTCCTGTGCTACTGAACTCCATGCCACTTTCCTTAGGATCCTACACTGTGGGCACATTTACACATGCAATTAATGTGACTGAATATACTTTGGCTCAATTTGAACCAAAGTAAACTTATCCTGAAATCACCATCTACATATGCGTTTAAGACCAGTAATTTACTGTGCTGCCAGATACCAGTTATATCTGACAGGACTATCAGGCAATGCAGTAAATTAATCTACTCCATCCTTATTGCTGTGCACATATAGACTGTGACACTGTACTTGAGCAGCCAATTAGTCTGCTGTGCAGTGAAGTGTCTCATGTAGATGTGTCCTGTAGGATCAAATGGGGGCATGGAAGAAGAGAATGTGGAGAAAGGAAGGAAAAACATACTTAAAGGAAAAAACTTGCAAATAAAGCTTTAAAAGCAGTTTAGGATAGTTTGTGCACAAAATATGCCATACAAAATAGCAAAAGTTACTCTGTGTGTGTATGGAAAGAGTAAGGTGGAGGGGGGAATTATTTCATTTCTATAAATTGTCTTGCTCCAATGCAAGCTTTGTTTGTAGGTCAGATCTCTTGGGGCTCAAACAAAAACCTGCTGACTAAAGGGAAATGACAATATTCTGCAAACTTCTCATATATCTGAACTGGACTTAAAAGGGAAAAAAAAAAAGACTAAATGGTGACTTGAACTATAACACTGAGTGAAATGCAGAATTCTAATAGGTTTCATATCCATGCCTCTTTCTTTGAAAGATGAGAAAAGGAGCCAAAATGGGTGTGTGAGTGCGTATGTGACATGTAGACCCTAGTTATATCAAAGGTTAAGGCAAGGGTGGGCAATTGTTTTGGCTAGAGGGCTGCTTAATGAATTTTGGTGAGCTTTTGAGGGCTGCAAGGATAGCCCTGCCCCTTCACAGGTGCCCTGCTCCCTGGTCACCACCTTGGAACTGGAAGTTCTGTCCCTAACCCCTGAACTTTTCCACAGGAGGCCCTCTCCTTGCCCCCCAGAAGTACTCCTTTTGTGGGGGGGGGGGGGGGGGGGAGCCCTTTTGGGGGGGGGAAAAAAGGGGAAAACAATTTCTGAAAAAAAAA